TCAGATCTTTGCAATTTAAGAATCTGAGTGGCACAGGCGTGTCCATCTGGAGAACGACTTGTTCGTCCCGTCATTTGATATAGTAAAATAATATCATAATAAGAAATTTCATCAAATCCTAGTAGACACACTAGAGTCACCATTCCTTTGTCTAAAATCAAAGAGGCTTCTGATCTTTTAATTTGGTATTGCAAACACGACAAATTGGCGGTCTGATACGATCTGCGTTCTACAATTTGCGCGATAGCATCTGCGCGCGCGCCTTCAAATCAGCCAAAGTGCTCATAACAGTCAAATAAAGAAGTGTCATCTGCCTCATGTTGAGCCATTTCTAATTCCATTACGTACGCAACTGATTTTTAAATAAATGTATGTAGCGTAGCAGCGGTGTTTCAAAGATCACAGATGCAAACGTAAAGGGAAAAGCGTCATTGCAAATTGTACCTTCTGTCGTTATAATATTAAACATGTGTATAGTAACAATAAAAAACGTCGCACAAAATCTTCTTGAAACATTTTGACTAGTCATTTATAGTGCCGAGTGCCGTTTCAAGCGTCCATACATTTTACGTAAGTAAAAACGTGAATTTTAATTTTTATTTGTTTGTGGTGAGAGTGCCGATCGCACATCTGTCGACCTTCATACAGGAGTTTTCGCCGAAGGGTGTCATCGGCGACTCCAGATTGCGCTACACATCGCCGACGAGGGCAATTCGTATAGATTAGTTGTTTACTTTTCATATTATATTTACTGTTGGGTATTTTAATTTAATAGTGGAAATTTTTCCTGAAAAATTCCCGAAAGTTTAAAAATTTTTAAAAATTGGAAAAAGAAAATTTCGACGGTTCATATTATGTTCATCGTTTAGAAATCTTTCATCGTTTTATTTAGCGTGAATTATAAAATAAATTTATATAGCTGAAAACCACTTAGAGAAAGCGAGATTGAACATGATTTCACAACAGCGGAAAAATAAACCTTTTTTATGGCTCCATCGTTTTCGTTCAGTAACTTCAACTTTGACAGGTGTCAACTCAAATGTGGAAAATTAAAGGAAACGTATTGGAAAAATATCCGGAAAATATATATTTTCAAAATGGCAATATATTATTTCCATGATTCAACACTAATTATATAATAATTATGTTAGTCCTTAAAATATACATTGTATTATAATAAAAATAATAATAATAACGCACGTATGTAATAATAACGTAATAACGAAACCCTGTGTCGCGGGTGCCATGGACACACACCTACAAATTACAAACAAAATCACGAGAGAAATAAATGTAGGCCATGTTTCTCCCGGTTCGGGAATCAAGCCTGGGACCTCTGCGTCGCAGTCCGGCCACGGAGGCAACTGCCTGGGCCATAGTTTCAAAATGTATGTGCCTGCCTGAAATATTTAAAATAAAAAAAATTAAAGTTTGTTGTTTTGGAGCTTGTGAGCAAAAGATTTACTTTGTCTAATAAGCACTTGAAAGAAGTAGCGTATGATGAGGAATCGTACCTCCCCGCCATGGTCTTCAAGATGCATGCTTCATACCGCAAAGATCTACAAACGCCGCCACAGTGTCCGTCATACTGAGACATAAATTTAAAAAAGTTCTATGTGCCTGTGTTTTGCCAAAACTGGAAAATTGTGAAGGCAATCAGAACCGTTCAGTTGTGTTCACACCTACAACCTACAAGCACATATACCGAATAATAATTACATTAAATAAATGGCATTGGAAATTTGTAAGGGCATTTGTAAGTTGTATTGTGGCTTGGAATCATATACGAACAAATGCGTAGAGCAGACACCTGTCTTGGTATACGTGTGACGTAGTAAACATAAAACTTCAATGTGGTTCGGAGATGATCGAAATTTTAAAGGACTGCGTTCGAAAGATATATTCTGAGTGGGCTTTACGGAAATTTTAGAAAATAAAAACAATCTAGCTAACAGTCTTGACACTGGGGCATGATTGCATGAATTCTCGCCATCAGGTCGGTCAATAACCGCAAAATATACCAAAATCAGGCAGTAATACGGATTTGTGCCTTTCGCAGTGGCAATCCTGGAGATTTTGTATAATATCAAGTGACGGGTTGAGCAAGTCGTGCGCCTGGTGTTAAGAGACACGCCTGTCCAAAGCAGTTTCTCTACCACTCAAAGCCTTAAATCGTAAAGTTCTGAGGGAATTTCCACGGCGCTTGTAACCCTTAGACATAAGTAGACACTTTCCACGTGCCTGTAATTTCACCAGCACAGACTCCGACAGATTTTATGTCCTCTCGTTGGTGCATGTGCCTTCCCAGTATGGAGCTTCGTGCACCCATCAGGGGGTAGCATTGGGTGAGAAGATGAACAGGAGTTCATCTTCTCATTCAGCATCGAGTGCTCGTTCCGAACGGTTGCTACGCGCGAACTACCGTGTGACTCATTTGTTTACGTCTCGCGAACGTGCATCGTTAATCGATTTTCGACCTAATCTATTTGTAATACGTTCTTTGGTACCGAAGTTGCCGTATTAAGTTATTTAAATATGATTTGCCCTAAGTGCCGGCAGATTGTTACGGATGCAGTTATTTGCACAGCTTGTAAAGGGAATTACCATTTCGCCTGTGCCGGGTTGGCTGAAACTACTTACCGAAAGATGCCTACCGAGAGGAAAGCAAGCTGGCGTTGCATTCCTTGTCGCACCGGAGGTGGCAGCCCTGCACCAGGGGAAGACAGAACTTCACAACGTTCCCTGCAGAAGCCTGCGGACTCCGTGGTCACCGATGTATCAGCCGATTTACAACATGGCATTGCCACCGTCTTGGGGGAAATTAAAGAACTTCGCGGTGACCTTGCGTCAGTGAAGTCAGATTTAGCGGCTTGTAAGAACGGCATCCAAAACATCGAAATTAAATTCAACGAAATGGAATCTCGAGTGTCCTTGGCGGAGGATAGGTTAACCCAAGTCGAAAAAAAAACGGATCTTGTGGGTAAATTGCAGGCCGACCTCAATTCGGCGACGGCGGCTATTTCTACCCTACAGCAGGAAAATGATGCTCGAGAACAATATTCCAGGATGAATAATGTGGAAATATCGGGCCTGCCTTTCACAAAAGGAGAAAACTTGGTCAACATTTTGCATGATATATACACTGTGGTGGGTTTGACATTCAAATCGGAACATATCGATTGCATACATCGGGTGCGGCGCTTCCAAGTTGCCGGCAGCGTCCGCGGCGGAGGTAACGGCGACCATAATGACCGGGATCGGTCGTGGGATGTTCGTGCACCAGCCATAATCGTTAAGTTCACCCGGCGTATTTATAAGGATGAACTCTTATCGGCGGTGCGTGCGCGTAGGGGTATCACAACCTCCTCCATCAACCTCCCTGGCCCAGCTGTCAACATGTACCTGGGTGACCACCTCACCCCGGCCAGCAAACTACTACTTAAGCGCGCGCGGGAGCTGAAGAGAGACAATAAACTCGCGTACTTATGGATTCGTGATTGCAAAATTCTTGCCAGAAGAACGGATACGTCGAAAGTTTTGGTGATAAATAAAAACTTCGACTTTAACAAATTAAATTGACTATACTCAGAACATATTTTGATAACTCAAAGCTATAAAAAAGTCTTTATGAAATGTCCAACCTGCACAGCCTATATTACTTCTGCTAACATAGCATATGTTTTTGTGCTTTTGTTTATGTCTGCCCACATAAATATATATCAATACTTTCCGTTTTACTTTCAACGACTTCACTATACATTCAATTTATACAGCCTCACAATATTATTTTGTCACTCAACATCTCGATATGAGCATGAAAGCGTAAGTATAAATGTCCTTAATTACGGTAACTATTCTAATGGCTAATAGCACTCATATCGTAGGTTATTATCAGAACGTACGAGGTCTTCGTACAAAAACACACAGTTTTTATTCAAATGTGGCCATATTCGATTATGATTTCATTTGTATTACCGAAAGCTGGTTAAATGCACATTTTTATGACAGGGAATTATTTGACAATAGGTATATAGTATTCCGCTGTGATAGAACAGCTGACGAGAGTGGCGCGGAGCGGGGTGGGGGAGTGGCGGTCGCTGTACGCCGCGAGTTCCTGCCGACGCGGCGCAGTTGGCCGAACCCCTCTCCCGTGTCCTCCGAGTGCATTTGGATTTCTTTACCTTTATCTCAACAAATTCAAGGTCAATCGTTTTTAAATATTTGTTGTATTTATATTCCGCACGGACCTCTTTATAAAGACACGTTAGAAAACTTTTTTGATATATGTAGCCAGCTAATACTAAATAATCCTAATGACACATTTCTTATTACCGGTGATTTTAATATATCTGATGCTCAATGGCATAATGTAGCGGACTCAGACAAAGTGAATCTTAGTAACCATAACACTTTACCTTTGCAGTTATTAAGTGATTTTCTATCCCTATCCGGCTTAGACCAATTCAACAATTGTTGTAATGTTAATCAACGTATTCTGGACCTTATTTTTTGTAACAGAAGCTGCACTGTTTTTTCTTGTAACGACCCTTTGACACCAGAAGATGCACACCACAAAGCCCTTAAAATCGAATTAAATTTACTAAAACCGTGTTCCCTTAAACCGGCCCCTACTTTTGTGTACAGTTATAATAAGGCAAATTTTAATGAAATTAATAGTGCGCTGTCTAACGTGGAGTGGGCGCAACTTTTTTCGGGTTGCTCTCTTGAGGTGTGCGTAGTTGTTTTTTATGACATTTTAAATGACCTTATTGATAGATTTGTTCCCAAGAACCCCCAACGTACATCTAGTTCCAGACCTCCGTGGCACAATAGACCCCTTAGAAGACTTTTAAATGAAAAAAGAAAGTACCATAAATTATGGAAAACTTATGGCAATCCACTAGATTTTGATGCATATAAGTTATTAAAAAAGAGGATATTAAAATTGGAACCTGTGTGTTACAGAAACTATATGAATCACACTGAAAGTAAAATTAACAGTCATCCTAAATTCTTTTGGACTTATATAAAATCCGTATTTGCTAAAAGTGGTATTCCTCAGGTTATGCATTATAAGGGAATGTCAGCCTCAACTGGAGCACAGATTTGCAACTTATTCAATGACCACTTCCACTCTGTTTTTGAAGAGTCTAGCAGTAGCCACGTAGACCTTACACCTGTCAGTGACACTCTTCTGGATATGGATACTATTTCCATAACAAAGGATCTTGTATATAAATATCTTAAACATATAAATGTTAATAAGGGTTCTGGTCCTGACTGTATTCCTCCTATTTTAATTAAAAATTGTTCCTCAAGCTTGACAATACCTATCACTTTACTTTTCGAAAAGTCTTTCAAGGAAGGCTGCGTACCAGCGCTGTGGAAACGGGCACTGATCACACCCATACCAAAGGGAGAAATGTGCGCAGATATAGAAAAGTACCGGCCCATATCAAAGCTATGTCAGTTTGGAAAGATTCTTGAAAAAATTGTTACTGACCAACTTTCCTCTGCATTACGTCGTCATACCATACCAAACCAGCATGGCTTTCTTAGTGGTCGTAGCGTAGATTCAAATCTCTTATCATATACTGAAATTTTACTAAATGCATTAGATAATAAATATCAAGTTGACGCGGTGTATACCGATTTTGCCAAGGCTTTCGACAAAATTAGTCATGAGCGCTTACTTTTAAAGCTTTGGCAACTCGGTATACACGGCGATTTATTTCGTTGGGTAAAGTCTTATGTAGAGAATCGTTCTCAGGCGGTCGCTGTGCAAGGACACACATCCCAGTACAAACTTATCACTTCTGGAGTACCACAGGGTTCGCACTTGGGTCCTCTGTTATTTATCATATATATCAATGACATAACAAAATGCGTAAATGATTCTAATATGCTCTTATATGCAGATGATACAAAAATTTTTAGAGTGGTAAGAAATATTGAAGACTGTACTGCCTTACAAATTGATTTAACAAACTTTCAGAATTTCTGCTCCTCGAATAACCTTTTCTTAAACCCAGACAAATGTTTTGTGATAAGTTTTAGTAGAAAACTTACTACTTTAAATTACAAGTACTCGCTTTGCAACAAAGAGTTGACTCGTGTTGACCAGATTCGTGACCTAGGTGTAATTATGGACGCGAAGCTTACCTTTATACCCCACATTGATAACATATTAAATAAATCTTTTAAACAATTGGGATTCATACTGCGTATCGGAAAGCCTTTTAGAAAACTATCCACCTATAAGGTATTATTTAATAGCTACGTTCGTAGTCGGTTAGAATTTGCTTCTGCCGTTTGGAACCCGCATTATAAAATCCACATTGACAGAATTGAAAGAGTGCAAAAAAAGTTTGTTAAGACCATTGAGTACCGCATACGAAATAATCTCATAGACTATGCCATCGGCTCGAACAGTAAAACATTTACACTTTTAAGTTCTCGCCGCGAACGCATTGACGTTTTGATCCTCTATAAGATCGTAAACAATATCATCGATGCCCCGTCGTTGTTGAGTTCCCTTTCATTTAGGGTACCTCGTCATCGAGAGCGCACTTGTAGACATAAACCTCTCTTTCATATCACTCGTAGTGGGACGGCTTATGCTAGGAATTCTTTCATTAGAAGGGCGTGCAGGTTGTATGACAATAAATTTAAACATCTTGATATATTTCATGAAAACATTTGCCGGTTTAAAAAATTAACATTACAATGTATCACGGCTCCGTAAATTTGTACACTTTTTAAATATATTTGTATTGTAGGTATACTTAGTTACAAATAAGATTTCTTGTTTTTTCTTTTAATTTCTCTTGTTATGTTTATTTTTAGGTAATATTACTATTCAGGAAACTGTAAGTTTACAACGTAATACCTTAAACTATGTATATTAATGTAAATATATAAGACTGTTTGTTTCTTAAATAAAAAAAAATAAAATAAAAAAAAAATAGTTTTCATGTTGCATTGTTGTTTGTGACAATTTTGTTTTATTTGGTGCATGATTGTGTAATCTCTATTAATTAGTAGTTTTTTGGAAAAAAATATACATTTTGATTGTGGTGTGCTATTTTATGATGGGCCATGGCAGAATATCAGATGCTGAGTCACGGATCTTTTTTTTATGATACAAAACGAATCGTGCGCCTGGTGGTAAGCGACACGTCAGGCCGTAATAATAATTATAATTCATTTATTCACTTCAAATAGGGTAGGGTACATTACACATGTTGATGGTAAAAATTAAATCAGAACGTATCAGTTGTTGTGTCCCTTTAAATCCCAAAAATCTGAGGGGTACTGCCACCGCGCCCGTCTTCCTGATACATAAGTTGACAAGTCCCGTGTGCCTGTAATTTCACCAGCACCCTTACCCTTCAAAACCGGAACGTAGTTAATGCTAATATTACTGCTTGGCGGCAGAAATAAGTAAGGCGGCAGTACTTCTCTGGACGAACTCTTTCACAAGGACCTCTACTGCTGCTTTTGACATGCTTTATGTTGGTTATTTGTTTTGAGTAATAAACTTTTTTTAAATTTATTTCTTCATTTCCCATTATTGTTGTCTTTTTGGTTTCATAAAGGATTTATGTAACTTTCTATAATTGTTCATGCACATGTCAAATAATGTGTATTCATTTTGCAAGCACATGTCAAATTCGGCCAATTTTATTATTATTTTTTATAACTGAACAACCGTTTTTTTTTCGGCGTACTAATGTAGTATTTGAGGCAAACTTTAAATTATATTAAAGTACGTAATTATATTTTATTCGTCGTGCACCTGGTGACAAGCGACACGCACCCAGAGCTTTAAATAGCAAAGATTTAGTGGACTCTGTCACTGCACCCGTTACCCTCAGACATAAGTTGACAAGACCCATGTGTCTGTAATTTCGCCAGCAAAACCGGAACACACATTACGGTCTATTCCACTAAGTTCAAATTATAAGTTCAATCAGTTGAACTAATCGGACACAAATATTCCAATAAGTTCAACTAGGTACAACTTTTCAAAAAGTTGAACTTATTGGACGAAATTCATCGTGTTAGTTCAACTTGCATTTATTTAAATAAACGCTCAATGTATACCTGATTACTCCTAGGCAGCAGATATAGGTAAAGTTCGTTAGAATGCACTACTTTCCTGGACGAACTTTTTAACAGGGAGCTCCGCTGCTACTTCCCGACCTACTACGTAAAAAAACCATTAGAGAGGATTATAGATTTCGTTACGCTGATCTCAGATTATGTTAACAACTCAATTTTAAATATGTCGAACACGTTAGTTATGATAATGAGGTATAGTCATTTAAATTTTGTCATTATTGAAAGTGTGCGTGTTAATTTTCCTTGTAATAATTGTAATTGTAAAGCATTGTCAGTGTGAATTCAATTTTGTTTTTAATTAGCCGACTCATCAGTTAATGGACACAAGTATTTTTTAAAATATTATTAGTAACTCTGGGAGCGTATCAATTCCGAATCCGAGCAATGACGGTCAGAAATCGTGTCCGAAGTGTCATTTTATTTCTAAAAAATGTACATAATTTCGTTAAGAAAGA